CCTAAATAACCTTTGTGACTCATTCTCTCAAGCTCACATCTTAAATCCTTTGTAACATTATGCTCTAAAAATGCTAATATATTTACATATTGGGAAGTTATTATTTCCTCATCAAAAATCCTACTGTATGTCACTGTGGTTTGTTTTAGCCGTGTTTCTTTTGAAGGGCATTATAATCACACACACTCTCTCTCCCTCCTCGGTTAGACAAGGCACGTCCTCCCCTTCTAAACGGTCTCATCTGTGCCCTACTCAAGGCTGGCAGCATCTGTTTCCCTCCAGGCCATGCCATAAGGTGTCAGGGCACCAAGGAACCTCCGTGTTCCCTCAAGAAACCCCTCACGACTCCCCTCTAACCCCCACCTCCTGCCCACAGACACAACTCACCCCCACCACCCCGCTCTTGCCCTCTCCGCTCAGCCCCCAACTCCCCCAGGTTCCACCTTTCTCACCCCCTCCTTACCTGCCTCTAACCTCTGCCTCTCTCTTCTAACCTCCTTCCCCTCCCACCAGACACCCTCTTCTCCTCGCTAACCTCCCCCTCTCTCTCCCCATGCACAGAATGTGAAATTTGTAACCTCCCTAATCTCCCCCACTTATCTCCCTCCTCTCTCCCCCCTTCCATCCCCCTTGTATGTGAGAGATGCCATCAGCTTAACTACCCTATCTCCTTTTGTTCCCCCTCTCCTCCTGGATGTGTGAGATGTGGTCTGGGGTTCTGGGGTTCTGGCGGTGCAGTGACAGAATGCGTCTTGGCGCCAGGAAGAGTTCCCCTCGGAGAATCACAGATTAGCGCTGTGTCGCTCCCAGCCCGGCCCGCCTTCCTGGGAATGGAGCTCCTTAACAGGCGTCACATTCCCCTCCAGGAAGCCTGCGGCACCCGCGACAGCCCAAGACACGGAGAGGGGAAAGTGATCTGATGGCACTCTCTCTCTCCCTCCCTTTTTCTCGCTCTTTCTCTAATTCTGCCTGTCTCTAGAAGTCAAGGACCCGTGCCTCTGAGCCATGCCCGGCGACAATGTCACAGAGAGGGGGGAGGAAGCGCTAACACGGGCCCCTGCTGCGGCCTCCTCAGCCCTGGCCCAGAGCGAGAGCAGAAAGGAGAGAGGCAGAAAGAGAGAGAGGAGATAAAGGAGGAGAGGAGGACTAATGAGCGGTGCTGCAGAGCCACAGAAGGTGTGTGTATCGGAGCATGAGCAAGCTGTTGAGACAGCGCCGGGCCATTGAGTTGACCGGGAAGCTAATGCTATGTTACTGGGACGCTAACGGCATGCCTAAACACACTGGAGACTGCTCCACACTCGTCACACACACTGCCACAACAACAAAAGGAGACACCTCAGGTCTAGGGGGAGAGATTACTTGTGACACGTCTTTTGGAAGCCAGTTGAGACTTCCTTAACATCTGACCCATTCCATATGACTCACGGATGGAAATAGTATTATATAAAGTCCTCCGTCTGCATATTCAATGTGACACAGAAGGTGAGGTAAAATAACTAACGCTCAGGGAGAAAATAAACGCCCTGTCTACCTGGAGTAGTTTGAGGACGTTTCACAGAAAGTACCCTTGTGTAATTCAGATTGAAGAGAGTAGAGATATCTCCTAGGGTTAGTCTCTCGATCTCTCTCTCTCTCTCTCTCTCATGCACAAACTGAAAAAAAGTGTAGCCCTGCAAGGTGTAATTTAATTGGCCTATGTGAGCATGTACAGTAGAATAAAATAATCTTGAGATTTGTATTTATTTAATTGTGTCATTGCTTATGCAATAACCAATAGTATGATGTATTTTTTCAGGTAAGAAGTGTGGCCTCTAAGTATCACAGGTTCAAAGGTCAAATACTGTATATTTATAAACTATTCTACAGCCAACATTCCTACAATTGCTAACAACGATGATCCTAACGACCTGTAATGTTTACGCTGAACTCCCTTTGACCTTGTGAAATTGTCTCCGGGAGAAACCAGTGACCTACGCCGCGAGGTTAAGGAACTGTCACAGGGTCACAATGTGCCCTATAGGTCCCTGCGCCCCAATGTAAGATGATGCTACCCTGAAGTGCTGTTAACAGTTAAGATCAAGGTTATGTTATCTGATCCTAGATCTGTGATAAGGCCAAATACTACAGGCTTGACCCTGTCTTGTCATTGTTATAGGGAAACAGGGGAATGAGACAGTGGAACACCTGCTACTGTACACTTGGTGCCTAACCTCAACACTTTCTATTATACGATAGTCCTGTAGAGCCCCCTCCATCCTTCCTCATATCACTACTCTGACCATGCAGCATATATCCTAGGAGGTGGAGGTTGGTGTGGGGGGGGGGTACTTTGTGTGCACTTTTCAGCAGCCGTGGCATCACCAAATGTTCAGCAATAGAGGACCAGTACCTACGGAGGAACAACTTTTGGAGGAACTGACCTTCAGAAAGGCAGGTGTGTTGTTTGCTTGCTTTTTATGCGCTTTGAGATTCCTTTGAATAATAATGAATAGCGCTATACAAGTTAAATGAATTCAATTTTTTACATTATTATTACTAAAAGCTTTGTGTCTCTTCATTATAACATCATGGCTCTGACAGAAGCTGGAAAAGATGCCCGGAGATCATAAGCGGCAGAACTCTTCAGCTGTGTGTCCCACCCTGGGCTATGGGAGTCCTCCTGTGCTTTGTGGAGGAAAGTCAAACTGCCAAAGACAAAAACAAAACCTGACCACCAGCAATATGACGCAGAGGGCAAGCCAATTGGCTGCATGCATGTATGGGAGAGAGAGGACACCAGAAGGGAGTAACATACAAAAAAGGAGAGGATGCCAGGGTGTAGGACAGAAGAAAAGTGGATGCCAGATAGTGAGGGAGAGATGGATTGAGGAAGAGAAAGACAAAGCGAGAGGAAGAGAGGGATGAGTGGAACAGTAAGTTGCTGGGGATCAGAGGTTGATCTCCTCCCTGCAGGTCTTGGTGGCGCTCCGCTCTGAGGCTTGAGCTGATAGCATTCTGTTGCATCATGGGAGGACCTTGGCATGTCCTCTTAATCTAGCCCCTGACTAGATGAGTCCTTCCCTGTGGCACACGCACACACTGGCATCAGGGTCCTTTGTGTGTGAGGAGCCATTGTTCCCAGGGCAAGGCGGCTTTGAGAGGATTCTAGAATGTTCCAAGGGCAGGACAGTTCAACAAACTATGCTGTACAACATGAAAACACCATAGGATAGCAATAGAGTCCATAAGGTGAGACATGTAGAAAGAACTGTAAGGCACATCACTTCCCTCCTTTAAAGACATCAAACCTGGATAGGCTTGATATACTTGGTGGATTGTGTCCCAACTGGAAAAGTGTGACTATATGTATCTGAGACTTTTGTGAGCAGTGGATAATACCTTTACAATTTCTCTCTCACACACACTCTGAGTGACAGGTAGTGGTCAGTGCGGTGGAGTGAACCACACCCTGTGTGTATCTAATGAGAGTCAGGTCTTAACCAGCAATCAGCCCTTAATCAGTTCTTACTAGGGCAGAGCCAGGAACTAGAGTAACTGAACCTGATACACTAGTAATGCTAACAGCTCCTTGTGTGTGTGTGTGTTGGCTTCTATCAGGGTCAGGGTGACACTCAGCAGGACTGACAGCAGCTCTTTAGGAGTGTCATCACTCCTACTGATCAGAGAGAGGGGCTGTATCCCCAGAAAACACACACACGGCAGATCCACCATGAACCGAGTACAAATGGCAGATGATAACCCACTGACTAAAACCACTTGTCCACTCCCAAACACACACCCACTGAAATCCACACATACAGGCCTAAAAAGCAGATCCCCCACCACTGATAGATGATCCAGATATGTGTTTATTAAGTTGTTTTCCAGAGAGGACAGACTGATACATAAACATGTGTAAGTGAGAATAGCTAGATACAGTAAGAAACATACAAAACCAACTATCGCAGGCATACATACATACATCTCTCACTGGTAGTGTTGGGCATCTCAGAGAATAGGTCATTGTAGGACATGGATAGTGACAAAGTGTCCGGCTAACTGCTAGGTCCATGCCATGCCGTTAGTCAATCAATTAACCAGACAGCCATAACAAAATAGAGGAATCAATCAGGTTTGAATACGGAATTTCAAATCATCAAGGTGTCCCCAAGTACTGATCTATTGTCAGTTTTTTCTCTGAGTAGTTTACGGTTATATTGGGTTAGTGTAAGCTGATCCTAGATCTTTGGTTAGTTACAGACAGTATGTGATGGGGGAATGTGCAGGAGTTAAATTGGGGGTGACAGTGTTCCGCCATTTTAACAGGGTAGGCAGCATACAGTGGGACTTGTAATGGGCGGAGTCTGTCAGGTCATCCAATGGGAGCTCTCCATTCATTATAAAAAAAGATTGTGTAGAGGCAGTGAGTGATTGACAGTAGTAGGTATTGGTCAGAATAGAAGTGGACAGGATTGGGTGTGAGACAGATGATTATAAATTACATTACAAGTTAGCTGTAAGTAATTGACAACATACAGATGGGGAGTTTTAGGCTACATGACAATGGACATGACGAGATCAATGCATGAACATCAATTATTTATTCTATAATAGTTATGTATTTTCATTAAATATGATATAATATATTATCAAATGCACAGAAAAACACTGATGTACAGTAAAGTGGGTTTCTCTGGGTAAAAACAATTCTGACAACCCTACAAAAACATTAGACAACCATAATCCAACCAATATTCACCCTTCATTCAACCATTGTCCAACCATGGCAACTGCTATACAATGCATCTCCCCTGTACAATGCCAGTGTTTCCCCTGTATTCGTTTAGCAGTGGCCAAATTGTTGCCACCACTCTAAAAATGTAAAAAAAAAAAAAAAAAAAAAAAAATTTGCTAATAATTTTCAGGATAAAACAGTTTCAGTGTAAACTTAAACGACTAAAACCAGATATAAAAGTATGTAGAAAATTTTATCTTAGAGAACTAACAATCACCAAAACTAGACAGTCAGGGAGAATCTAAAACTTAAAAAATGTCATGGCATGGGGCCCGCATAGATCTTGTAATGTTTGAGTCCCTCAGATAGCATAAGAACACGGCAACATTTTGGCTCTGCGGCTAAGAGGAGGGCATCTACAATTTTGGGTCGGAGACCGCAACGTTGGCCACAACGACTACCAGTATATAAGGATTACAGTATGCAACCTATCAATACAGGGGAACGTATTGGACTGTGAAATGTCAGAAGACCGTTGAAATCAAGTTGGTTGTCTTGTTGAAATAAGAAAACGTTTCATTGACTTTGTGAACCTCCATTCCATAAAAGCACTAGTTAGTTTATTGCACCACATGCATAATGTCTCCTTAACAGTCTAACCTGCTTAACACGAGGAAAAAGAGGACGTCAGTAACATGTGCAAGGTAGGTGTGTAGCTGATTTCTCCCCAACAAATGACACAACAAGAGTTCACTTGACACTGGCCACGTCTGGATGTACGTGTGTGTGTGCCCACCCTGTCAGCAGATCGGTCCGCCCACAGCATTCATTTCTGACCTCCACCGTCCCACAATGCACTGGGCTTATTTGGGCCAGTCCACTCTGCCAAAGAAGGGGTGTGACTTGATGTCCTCTGCTCCTGCCACCCCCGCCCCCAGCCTCTCTATGGGGTTGAACTGGAGAAGCTACACCCACAAAATAAAAACAAACACTATTAACACTCAAGCGGTGGAGGACAAACTATTTTGCTGATACCTCATTAAGCAAAGTGATGATCAAACAAGAGAGCTTTCATGATCTAAAGCCAACCCTTGGTGGTACAGGTCATATAACTTGCACATGACATGATATACATCTGAGTGATTCCACACCAACATCAACAGAAAATATTTTCGGTATGTTAGATTGTTCAGGCAAATCTCACATAGAAACTTGTTTGACATGCTTTTTACATTTGTAACACAAAACATTTTTATTATGATGAAATTGGCAATTTTAGGCCCTTTTTAGACCTATACATGCCTCCTGTAAGACCCTATGATCTGTGAACCGTACATGATACAGACAATATCTTGGTGTCATTATACACCAAGATGCTGTCTGTATGTTTAAAGAGTATATTGTTCCAAACTATATATGTCTTAAAATGAACAAAGTCAAAAAGGGTTGTTTTGAGATGTTAATATTGTTTATGTTGGATAAATTAATGTGAAAAATATTATTTGAGAATGTAGACATACTCCATATTTGAGAGCACACTAAGGTGTATAATGACACCAAGATGTTGTCTGCATCATGTACGGTTCACAGATCATAAGGTCTTAAAGGAGGCATGTATAGGTCGAAGGGCCTAACATTTTCACTTTCATCATGATTGTCGAAAAAATGTAAAGCATGAAAATCATTTCGTAAAAGCATAAAAGCATTTTGTATAAAGCATTTCAAACATCCTTCCTCCCAATGAAGTTTCTATGTGAGAATTACCAGAACAATCCAAGATACGAAAAACATTTTCCGCTCCCGCTGGCGTGGAATCGCCTATCTGCCATGCATTCATTAGCTCACTCATTATAACCTCTATGCATTCATTAGATTATGTATTTGTGACATAAAGAAAACAGTTTTAAAATGTGTGTGTGTAATGGCTGTTCTCCATGCCTATCATAACACCATAGGACATCCCATAGTAATCCATTATTAAACCTGGACATGAGCCAATCAAAATGTCTGTCTGACTGTCATTGGGTGGTGTCTTCTCACTTATGGGGTACCCATTGGGACTTTTTATTATAACGCATCACACACGCTGTATTAGATAGACAGACAGGAGCGGCATCAACTCTAGCCAGTTTATCTTAAACATTGGAATGAGGAATTAGCAAGGGCGCTTTAGCCTAGTGCAAGCTGTGTTAAATATAGGATGTATTTATACACAGTGCGAGAGGCCTGTGTTTACTTTAGTACATGAAGTACTCATCAGTACAGAGGCGAATAGAAGAGATGAGAAGACAACAGAAGGAGGAGCCACAATGTGTATTATAGAATAGAACAGACTGCTGACCTGCACTAGTAGAGACATGGCCTCCTCAGATACAAACTCAGGGACGTTGAGGGCCGTGTGGCGACTGATACCAGCTGGGTGGCACTGCAGCAGAGACTGGGGAGGGAGAGAAACGCACATTATACACTATCAAAAACATGCGCACACAATTACATATATTTATTTGACACCCAGTCGGATCATTTTATTCTAGCTCAGTGTCGTTCAGACGGTGAAATGCTATGGAGCGATCAAACATTATCCAGCCTGGATCAACCTCCATGGTCCCAGATACACATCAGACAAACCCCAGTTTATTTATCTGTTTCCGTCACTACAAAAGCTGTTCAAGTTTCTGCTACTGACTGTGTGAAGCTGCCACAGAGGCTGACAGAGACAGACCCCCAGCCTGCGCAGGCCACTACAGGAGAAAAGCCGACTGGACAAACAGAAGACAAGCGAGAGAGAAAACACCTGAAATAATACTGATCATAGCAGAGATAATATCAGTGTGATTTCACTGGGCTGTTGCTCTTCCTTGTGACCTAATGGAAAAGGTTGTTTTTCACATGGGGAGAGGTTAGTGGAAGAGATGGAAGGGGGAACTCAGACAGACAGACAGACAGCTATTCTGTTGAAGTCACTATAAACATGCATTACAAAGGGAAGAGCTCTATGCAAACAATGTCAGGCAGGTGGCAATGTAATGGGGTGTGTATGCTCCTACACACAGGGAGTCATAATTACTGTGTTACAACAAGCCCTTGAGATTTTACTTAAAAACCCAACACAGCCCAAATGTTGGAACAGACAACATAAGCCAGGTAATACACTAAACAAAAATATAACCACAACATGTAAAGTGTGGGTCCCATGTTTTATGAGCTGAAATAAAAAGATCCCAGAAATGTTCCATAAGCACAAAAAGCTTATTTCTCTAAAACGTTGTGCACTAATTTGTTTACATCCCTGTTAATGAGCATTTCTCCTTTTCCAAATAATCCATCCACCTGACTGGCGTGGCATATCAAACTGACTAAACAGCATTACACAAGTGCACCTTGTGCTGGGGACACTAAAAGGCCACTAAAATGTGCAGTTTTGCAACACAACAGAATGCCACAAGATGTCTTAAGTTGAGGGAGAGTGCAATTGGCATGCTGACTGCAGGAATGTCCACAGGAGCTGTTGCCAGAGAATTGAATGTTAATTTCTCTACCATAAGCCACCTCCAACACCTTTTTAGAGAATTTGGCAGTACGTCCAACCGGCCTCACAACCACAGACCATGTGTATGGCGTCGTGTGGGCAAGCGGTTTGCGGTTGTCAACGTTGTGAACGGTGGGGTTATGGTATGGGCAGGCATAAGCAACGGACAATGAACACAATTGCATTTTATCGATGGCAGTTTGAATGCACAGAGATATCGTGACGAGATCCTGAGGCCCATTGTTGTGCCATTCATCTGCCACCATCGCCTCATGTTTCAGCATGATAATGCACGGCCCCATGTCGCAAGGATCTGTACACAATTCCTGGAAACTGAAAATGTCCCAGTTCTTCCGTGACCTGCATACTCACCAGACATGTCACCAATTGAGCATGTTTGGGATGCTCTGGATCGACGTGTACTACAGCGAGTTCCAGCAACTTCGCACAGCCATTGAAGAGGAGTGAGACAACGTTCCAAAGGCCACAATCAACAGCCTGATCAACTCTATGTGAAGGAGACGCGTTGCATTAGGCAAACGGTCTGACAGGTTTTCTGATCCACGACCCCTACTTTTCTTTTTAAGGTCCAGTATCTGTGGCCAACAGAAGCATATCTATATTCCCAGTCATGTGAAATCCATAGATTAGAGCCTAATTTATTTATTTCAATTGACTGATTTCTTTATATGAGCTGTAACTCAGTAAAATGTTTGAAATTGTTGAATGTTGCGTTTATATTTTTGTTCAGTATAATATATTTGTATGTGTGCTTCCCTTTATACAGTCTTTGGTGTGTGTGTGCGTATGTGAGATTAGCATGGAAAACCCCTGTTAGTTCATCAGTTAGATCAGTTGCTCTTTCCAACACATGCTGCAGGAGATATGGCTCAGATCCCAGCAACAGTCAAGATCGCCCTGGGCAAAATCTTACCCTGCAAGGATCAAGAGCGCCTGTGTGTGTGTATGCGTGTGTGTGTGTAATATACCTAAACTAAAATCCCCAAAAGAGAAATCTGTGGGTTTGTTGAAGTTCTTCCAGTAAGTGTATTCAATGTTAAAACAAACGTACAACCTGGCTGTCTGTTTCATCTGTTTCATCTAGTGATGGGAACTAAAGATTGTTCAGATGAAACTATGCCACTGGCAGTCAGTTAGGATTTATTCAAATTTAAGGCCAATTAAAAGTTTGAGGAGTGTTCTGGACCTGTCACGAGTGTGTGTGCACCTGTGCGTGTGTGCGCTAGAAGACAGCCATGATCAGAGATATTCCCTCTCCTCACCAGTCCTCCTCCCCTGACCCAGGAACAGCCACAATGGTACAGCACCAAGAGATCTGCCCTGTTCTCCCACCTTTATACTGATCTTAGGTCAGTCAGCCCAGCCCAAGGAGTCCTGAGAGCTGGCTCTCCCTTCCACCCCAGCCTTGATCCAGGGACAGAGAGCCAGGAGAGGGCCCAGGGAGAGGTGACCCCCTGCCCCAGCAGATGGAGTCCAGGCTGGGGGAGAAAGTCACACCGCTGCCCCTGGCACCAGCCAAGAACCAGGGGGAGAGACGGGAGCCAAGACGCAACTACACACAGACACCTCCAAACACACACACACACACAAACAACAGACACACATACACAGACACCTTAAAACACCTTCCACACATATATACACACACACACACACACACACCTTAGAGAAAGTCACACACACACATCCACCCTGGTACAGCTAGACAGCCAGGGAGAGAGGGGAAGAGACGCACCTACACACAGACACCTTAAAACACCTTCCACACACACACACTCACACCTGACAGAGATAGTCACATGTCCAACCCTGGCACAGCGAGAGCTATAGCCAGTGAGAGCCAACATATACCACCACACAGATGTCTTCACTGCCCCCGCACACACACAGGGATCCATCTAACACACATGCACAGCCACAATGATGCCATTTGTCCTCTTACCTTGCCTATGAGCAGCTCAAACAAGATGGCTCCCAAACTCCACCAATCACACGCTGCCGTCTCCTCGCTGATACCGCCCACCTCTACAACAAAGTAGAGAGAGGAGAGATAATATGACATGTAGCAGACAAAACATCAGGTCTGACTTATGACTAGCGCGATTCCTTTAAATTCACTATCGCAAAATTAGGAGAATACCACACAATAAACCTACGAAATGACGACTTCATATTTTATTTCATTAACATATTACACACACACACACACACACACAACCAGTAAGGAGCCAAATGTGGGCGTGTGTCTTGTAAAGGGGTGATTTGCATAATAAAAAAGCAGTCAAATTGAGGAAACTTCACACCATCTGCATGACCTGACCTCACACACACACAAAAAATTGAAAAAGCACACACACACACACACCCTCAGAAACCCACAGTAACACACACACACACACACGGTACCAACCACAGACACTCCTATCAGAAATGCACACACTTCTCCAGTCCAGAGACACAATACATGATAATACACTTCCACTTAAAGCCTTCGTCAACGTTCCCCTCCTGCCCTCCATTTCATCCTCATTTTTGTTCCAGCTGTCTTCTATTAACCCTCACTGATCTGTTTGTCCTCCTGTCTCCTCCATCTTCTATTAAACCTCACTGATCTGTTTGTCCTCCTGTCTCCTCCATCTTCTATTAAACCTCACTGATCTGTTTGTCCTCCTGTCTCCTCCATCTTCTATTAAACCTCACTGATCTGTTTGTCCTCCTGTCTCCTCCATCTTCTATTAAACCTCACTGATCTGTTTGTCCTCCTGTCTCCTCCATCTTCTATTAAACCTCACTGATCTGTTTGTCCTCCTGTCTCCTCCATCTTCTATTAAACCTCACTGATCTGTTTGTCCTCCTGTCTCCTCCATCTTCTATTAAACCTCACTGATCTGTTTGTCCTCCTGTCTCCTCCATCTTCCATTCTTTTCAATGCAATGCTATTTTCCAGGCAGGTCTTCTGGCATTGCAAAAGCAAAACTAAACCAAACCCACCTCTATACTGTAGCTCTTTCGTTCCGTTTGTTTTTCCTGTTCTACCACTGAAGACAAACCCCCAGGTTCCCCCTACACTGTAAGACCCTGTCAAGGTGAACGTGGTGTTGGCCATGCGTCCTTCCTCTAACCCCACCTCCCTCTCTCTCTTTCCATCTCTTCCTCCCTGGGCTCTCCAGGCCCCTGGCTCTCTCTCCCACAGAGGTGGTTAGGGGAGCGGGGACACACAGCCGGAGTGACAGGCAGGTCGGCTGGGGGGGCCACTGGTGCATGTGCCATTTGTGTGGTGTATGTGTGTGTTAGTGCTCTTGTCTGTGTTTGTGTTTGTGTGTGTGTGTGTGTGTGTGTGTATTTGTGTGCATGTGTTCCACTGGGCACCAGATGGCCCCTTGTGTCTCTCTCCGCTCCTCTCTCCAGAGGGGGGCCTGGTAACCCTGGGGCCGGGGCCCAGGGGTCAGAGCGCGTGTGCCCAGCGACCAGGCTCCTCAGCTGGGGGAGGAGGAGGAGAGGCAAAGCCCCCTCTCCTCCAGGAGGCTCCAGGGGGCTCTCTTTCAGCCAAGGTTAGAGAGCCCCAGTTGGGGCTATGATACTCCTCACTCTGGCCGCCCCTAAAGGAACATCTAGCCAGCACTCGCTCGCACGCACGCTCACACACACCCAACTGAGCAACCAGTCTTCAGGGCTCCCCATGACCACCGTTTTGACAGCCAAGGAGAAGAGATCGTCATTGAACAGACTAGTGATACCTGCGTGGGTATGAGCTTGGGGGAGAGGACACTGGACACACACGTCTCACAGCAAGGTCAATTGTCATCACAATGGATTAATGTCTGAGGAGCTGCAGGGAGAAGACAGCAGAGCTGGCTACACTTAACGCTCTGTCAGAGCAAGGCAGGAAGAGAGAGAGAGGGGAGAGAGGAGAGAGAGAAAGAAAGAGGAAGAGGGGAATGAGCCCATGCATGCACAGAACATGGTTCACTAACAAAACCCACTCGTACAGTAAGCCTCCATTTTACATGACTATAAAACACAGGTGAGTTCATTAAAAATGGCTCCTATCCACCATGTCTTTCTTTTTCCATCTAAAGAAATGGGAACCTCGGCTGATCTTTACAAAAAGAGTGAAGTTAAGGGAAGGCAAAGCCAGCTAAGAGAAAGTGAGTGGAGCCATACAGTGTTCTCAGCCTAGGTGTGACGTCTAACGTCCGAATCGGAACACAACAGAACTTCCCTTTTCTCTACAACAAAGGAGTTCCCTCTCCCTCGGTCAGTCGTTTAAGAAAAGCACTCTCTCCTCTCTTAGGGCCAGGAGGAACATTCTCTCTTCTCCTCTCTCTTCTCCACTTCCCCAAAACCAACCGACAGCCATTGTTCGAACGGGAAGTGATGTAGGAGGAAGTGAAGAGAGAAGGGCTGGAGCAGTTGCCCTTAACCAGATGTACCTACTGTGGTGTTGGATACAATAGGGAGAAAGGGAATCTAAGGCCTATCGATCTTTAAGTGAATCGGGCAATAAGTGACAATGCCATTGTCACTAAATAACATGCTGTTAGTTTGATGGGGAGGAGGGACGTAAAAAAAGAAATACATTCTTATTTTGGGGGATTTTTTAAATAACAGAAAAGCTCTCTGGTGTTTACAGTATCAGTTCTAATATCAGTTAAAGAGATCAAATAAACAACTACTCCAGAACAATAAATGAAATACTTTCCCAGTCTCCTCCTATGTTTTTGGGTGCAAGTGTGTTGAAAACATGTTGTCTCTCTCCCTCTTGACACACACACACAGAGCCCTGTCACAGCAGGCACCCTGCAAGCTCTCTGGCAAACAGTCATAAATCTGTCATCAGGAATGAACCATAGCTGGGACTGACCCTGTCTGGGTAAACAGCAATACATAAAGGGGGGGTGTAAGTACATCTGTGGGAGGGGGGGGGGGGGATTACAGAATGACATTGAGGTAGATAGAATGAAAGAGAGAATGGAGTGTGAGATTGAAAGAAAGAGTGAAAAGTGTGAGAAAGTGAGATTTAGAGAGAAAGTGAGTGAGAGGGAAGGCTATAAAGCAAAGATAGAGAAGTCAGACAGACACTCACAGACAGAGCATGAATCCCCCTGCTGGATCCTCGTGGCTACTACACCTACCACATGCTGCCCAGTGAAGTGCTCAAACAGAACCAAAGTAACCACAGACACAAAATGTAGATATGCTTCGACAACTAGTCCTATATGGACCTACATGTCCCTCCACGCAGAAGCAAATAGGTAGTCACCACACCCTTTAAAAATAATCCAATATCTTTCCCAAATTAAAGAAGTACAGCGAACACTCAATTCCACCTTCCATCTGACCTACAAACTCCCTAACCTCTGCCTGCTTATTCCTCTGTCATCTGTCTTTAGTGCAACAACTCCTGCTGACCTCTGGGACTTTATCATTTGACATAAATTGAGTATACAAGACCAGGTGAATCCAGGAGAAAGCTATGATCCCTTATTGACATCACTTGTTAAATCCACTTCAGTCAGGTTGGATGTTTAAGCCTTGAGACAATAGACACATGGATTGTGTATGTGTGCCATTCAGAGGGTGAATGGGCAAGACAACAAATGTAAGTGCCTTTGAACAGGGTATGGTAGTAGGTGCCAGGCACACCGGTTAGTGTCAAGAACTGCAACGCTGCTGGGTTTTTCACGCACAACAGTTCCCCATGTGTATCAAGAATGGTCCACCACCCAAAGGACATCCAGCCAACTGGACACAACTGTTGGAAGCATTGGCGCCAACATGGGCCAGCATCCCTGTGGAACGCTTGACACCTTGTAGAGTCCATGCCCCAATGAATTGAGGCTGTTTTGAGGGCAAAGGGGGGGGGGGGGTATTCTCAGTGTATGTCCCTCAGTGTCGGGTTCCTATCTCCATTAGAGTGCCTTAACACACGGACGGTGCTCCTGCTGCGCTGGCCTGCCTGCCTGAGGCTTAGCCTACAGTGCATTTAGAATATTACATGAGTGGAGAAAGATGGAGCTTTGCTTTCAGACTTATTACACTCTGTCATACAGTTGGTTTGGAAAATAAGGATTGGGAGGAGGGGGTGGGAGAGAGAACTTAAAAGTATATAAAAGTATATACATCTGTCATTTTTGCTTTCATCCAAAGCGATACATACAGTATGTTAACTATATGTGTCGCATGTCGGCTGCTGTCCAGTACAGTGTCATGCGGCATCAGTGTTGTACGTACGCACGCACACACGGTGCGGTGGAGTCTTGTGTGTAACAGCAGTGTGTTTAGTCAGCCTTTAAACAGCATGCCAGGGCTTCCACAGGCATGCTCAGGCCACAGGAGAGGTCAGTCACACCACACCAGGCTGGCGCCACACCACCCTCTACAGGATACCCTGGGAACTACATTCAGTTCCTAAATGTATAAATAAATGTCTGTGCATTTTAAGCCTTTCAAAATATGTAAAGACTATAGATGACAGTAATCGTGTGTCATCAATAGTCACAGAAAATGTTGGTCTTCTGTGCATCTGTTACTAGGTTTAATTCTATGGTCAGTGTTGGTTTAAAACTTGTTCATGTTATGAAGACATCACTGAATGAGAACTCTCAAGGCATGCACACCAAAACTACGTCTTCTAGTGTGTTATCTGTAGATCTACACGTATGAATGAGTTGGCTCTACTGCCATTTAAACCCAATTTCCCGAGGCCCCACATACATAGTGCTCTACTCTAGTGAACTGTTTACGTGGCCTTGCTCCTGTATGAATGAGGCCTTTGTGGCCATGGGAGATGGGAGGGAGAGTGGCCTACTTCTGCCTGTGTGTCTGCATAACATGAACCTCTCTACACAGCCTGGGCCCCACTACTAAACTACTGAGGCCTTCCACTCTGGTCTGTGTACACACACATGCACAAGCTCCCATTTTAGAACAATTGAGTACCACAGTATGAGTCATAAACCCGGAAATGGTTCCAATTGATTTTCTTCACCATTCATTTTTGCGTCTGGGAATTTAGACCTACTTCATATAAGGTCTGTGTTTGGTGTAGGCTTACCCTGGCATGACGTTTTGATAAGTGCGCAACGCTCTCTCGGACAAGGTAACTTTTATCAATGCTTAGCACTGCCAATTTTTGCGAGCTAATCGAGGAGAATATATTGATGAAACTCACCTTGTCTGAGAGAGAATTACACGGCTATCAAAATGTCACGCCAAGGTAAGCCTACACCAAACACACAATTCATTAGATTTTCTTTGTAAAATTCACGATGTGAAAAATGAATGGCGGAAAAACCATTGGAACCATTTCCGTGGTTTTCTGGGTATTATGACACGTCCACTGTGGCGGACTATTAGGAAATACAACATGGATGCACAGTCAGGTCTAATGGAGGAAACTGCTTTGATAAATGCGTTGCCTTGATCTGTGTGTGGGTATTTCTCACCTGGTGCACAGTACATGTTGGTGATGGCCTCCCTGTCGTAGGAGTCCTCCACGTCACTCCAGCTGCAGAAATACGTCAGCTCAACATGGCCTAGGAACGAGGGATGGAGGGAGAGAGAGACAGACAGACAGACAAATGAGTCATGTCAACAAACCCAAAACATATCCCTGTCCAACATGTAAACACACACATACTAGTCTCTTCTCCAACTTCCAAAAACCGTGTTTGTGTCACCCTGACTCCCTCGCTCTCTCTGCACACAACAGTCCACTCAGCTCACCTCTAGAACACTTACACCCCTCTCTTCCTTCCTCTCTCTCTTTCTCTTTCTAACAGAGCTATTCCAGCAGCACACGGCCCCAGTGATTACTCCTGTTTAGCTGCTAACGGCTAACAGTATCATTAGGACTAATGGTGCCATTAGCTAGCCGGTGCCATCAGCCTGAGCTAACCAGACTGATGCACTACACTACTAGAGGGCTGTTGATAGCCCTTTAGAACATTAATTACACACAGAGAGAAACACGGGGAGACCAAAACAGCCACTCAGATAATTAGACAAGTGTCCATAATGAGGTACAGAGAGATGATGGGACTAGAAAGGGAAGGAGAGAGATTCGAGCTTGGGTCGGTGTAAAACAAAGATAATGCTTTGGAGGGAGTTTCCAAACCATTGGTATCAGACAGACAGGAATATGAGTGGCATGTCCTATCTATTTGAATAAATCTGGCAGAACTTTAGAAGTTTAAGCTTGGAAGGAAAAGCTAAAGATGATGAAAATCCCCCACCAGTGTGAAATACTTCGTACTTTGTTTCATAAATGATCTTCTAGTCGACAGAGGAAATTAGATTGAGGCCTGCATATTTCTCCTAATGCATATAACTAGGTCAACACAACACGTATGATGGGAGTTTACTTTTGATGTATAAACACTATATAAAAACACCCATCACGTCAACACGGTTGTCAGAAAGCCCTGTCCCTTCAGAAGAGCTGGTTGACCTCTGACCTTTGCTGTTGATGAGGATGTTGTTGGGGTTGAGGTCCTTGCAGACGATGCCCTCCTGATGCAGTGAGTCCAAGGCAGAGACCATGTCCACTGCCCAGCACCTCACAAACTCCTCTGGAATCCTGGCCTGGGATGCTACAGCAGACAACTGGTCCAGCTCTGCAAACAGCCGAGACACATCCTTATCTGACTCTACCATGTCCTCCACACCAGCCTTACTGGCCTGGAACTGGGACTCAACGCCTAGTGCACTCTCTGCCCCAGAGCTGGCCCCTGTCCCATCCTGACCGCGGTTGGAGCCAGCTATCGTCCCGTCTGGGTTCAGAACCAAACTGTCAGGGTGTACCTGTAGGTTCAAAATGGCTTCTAATCTTTCAGGAAGGGATCTAAGCGAGTCAGCGAATGGAATGTCTGTGTTGGAGGAAGAGAGCGGGGCTATAGACACAGCGCTGGCAGGGCGGAAGTCCTTATTCGGGAGTACGGGAGCGCCGGAAGCCATTTTGTCCATTTTAGCATCTTGTCCGAAGGCCAGGCCACAGTCATCCCACAAGGAGGCGCAAGGAGAGGAAGAGGTGGCGTGTCTGTCCCCCGAGGGGAGGGCCCGCCCCCGCCCCACAGCCAGCTCCTCCCCCTCCTCAAGCTCGTGGTGGAGCTGCAGGACGTCCGGCTGGGTGAAGTTAGGGGAAGCTTTGGCCTCCAGGGCCAGACACACCCCCAAGGACACCAGCTCCTTCTCTAGGGCCTCCACCTCCCCAGATACCCCCACCACCCCCTCCACACCCCCAGCCATGACCCCAGGCAGGTTGACCAGGAGGTCAGGGGGTCGACCCTCGTCCTCCACCACCGCCTCTTTAAAGGAGATGACTGGTACTGACTCATTAGAGCCCTGGTCACTACCATCCAGACCCCACAGGTCAGACCCACCTCTGTGACCTTTCACCTCCTCCACTAGGTCTGACAGGTCTGTGACTTCAGAGCCCAGGTCAGAGGTGGACAGGAAGGGGATGGGCTTGGAAGGGTCTGGTTTGGGCCTCAGCTCGGCCGAGTCAGGACACCACGTCACCTCGCTAGCGCTGTCCTTACTGTCGATGCGGAAGAACTCCATGGGGGTGCGTTTGGACTGGTCCAACGAGAGAGGAACGGCGGGGGAGAGCAAGGGGCTGAACACCTCGCCGTGGTCCTGCCCGATGTCCTGGCAATGGCCGTTGTTGTGGTCCCCAGCCGTCTCAGTGAAGAAACGCAGCTCCTGGGCGCTGATTGGAGAGCAGAGGCTGTCGTTGCTAAGCAGTGAGCGAGTCCTGGAGGAAGTGGTCGTCGTGGTGACGGTGACATCCAGCGACGATGCTTCCTGTCCTCTCAACACACCCCCCTCTCCCTCCTTCTCTTCCTCCTCTCCTAGAGCTTCCGGTTCTACCTTTTCTTGCTCATACTCATTACAGAGATTCAGATAACTGTTGGTGCACTCCTCTAACTCAGAGGTCACTACAGAGTCCAGCTGGGGCCCAAGGCTGTCAGCCAGCCCAGGATGCATAGCACTCTTCTGGGGGAGGACAAGAGAAGACTCCCCTTGCCTCTGGAGCACACATCCAGGCCCAGACCCAGAGCTGTCGGAGTCCAAGCCCAGTTTGGGAGCAGCATGTTGGGCAGAGTGGACTGCCGTGGTGTGGCTCTTCTGAATGAAGGGAATGTCGAAGCTCTCCTCCGGGCTGGAGTTACGGAGGAACTTCCCAATGTGAGACCACAGCTTCCCACCTGGACAGAGGAGAAGAGAGAGGGAGAGAGAGAAGAGAGAAAGAGATGGGGAGAATTAAAAAACTCTTGTTTACTGATCAAAGTAAGAACGTTTTGGTTGGCAAGGTGGGTTGCTCAAAACGTAAATATAAGGGAAAAATGACAGAGAACAACATTAAGGAGAAAACTGTTTAAATTGTTATTTTTTGGGGACTCAATTAGCTCAAGGGTCATGATAACATTTAGAAACTGTCCTTGGCAGGCAGAGATGGGCACACACTCCCCCCAACACACACACACACACACACACACACACACACACACTAACCCAGCTGTGGTGTGAGTGATTGTAGGACAGCATCTGTTGTGTATGATGAGACTGAATAGGGTGTGTGCTGCTGGCGGTGATAATGATAGTAAGGCAGCCTGATCACTTAGGAGGAAAAACAACCACATGTTGGACTGGAGAATGTCACTCAGGTCACTGCCTCCCTCTGTCTGCTCTCAACTACTTTGTTTGGCTGTTTGTCCGCTCATCTCATGTGGGACAGATTCGCTATCCTGTAGTGCACTAGTTTTAGTGCTTTTCTTAGACTTGGATTGTATCTACCATTTGAAGCATCATATCATTATATCTAGTTTTCCAAACCAAATATTGTGCTAGCCAATCAAATATTTGAATGCCATATGAAAAACGCATTCATTTTCTAAATGATTGTAAATCAAAATCAATAGGTGCATTGCAAAAAAAATTGATTTAATTGCATCTTTCACAAGCGTGAGGATAGCAGTTACTCTAACTGCTATCAGAGTCTGTCTATTTTACACACACACACACACACACACACACACGTTGGTGAGTGGAAAATAAGGAGGCCCAGGTGTTAGCATAGCTAATGAAGCGCGGCACCACCTGGTATTCAGAATAATGACCTGTGACATACACCCAACTCTATCAAACATCTGTCTACAACAAGGGTAGGCAGGGGGTGAGTGAGTGAGTGAAGAGAGGGAGGGAGATAAAGAGGGGAGATAAGGAGAGAAGAGATAGGAAAGATGGAGCGAGTGAGGGAGACAAAAGGAAGACAAAAGCTGTGTGTGTCATACCCTCAGCGTACTGTAGCAGCAGAAACACGGTGTCCTCTGAGACGATGAACTTCCTCAGCCGCACCATGTGGGGCACAGAGTGAGGCATGATGGTCCGCTTGGGTCTCCCACAGTCACTGCTCTTCCTCAGGCCCTGAGGGAGGGAGGGAAAGGCCAGGGGGAGGGTTGAGGGGACAGAGTTAGAGAGGAGATGAGTGATATTGTATGGGTGAGGGACAAAAGTTGAAGGGACGTGGATGAAAGAGAAACATTGCATTGAGGTTGTGCAAACATTTCCCTGCAAACCCGACTCCCTGTGTCCTCAGTGGAGGAATGAATGTGTGTGGTGTGTGTCGTCTGTGCCCGTGGCGTGCTGTGTTGGCATCTGGCACACGTCTCGCCCCAGAGCAGGAGAGCTGACAGGGACACGGCCATTAGAATCAATTACACAGGTCACACTCAGGGCGCATTGAGGCTCTCACATACACACGGTTACACACTCAGGGCGCATGGTGGCTCTCATATACACACCGTTACACTCAGGGCGCATGGGGCTCTCACATACCGTTACACTCAGGGCGCATGGTGGCTCTCACATACACACCGTTACACTCTGGGCGCATTGAGGCTCTCACATACACACCGTTACACTCAGGGCGCATGGTGGCTCTCACATACACACCGTTACACTCAGGGCGCATTGAGGCTCTCACATACACACCGTTACACTCAGGGCGCATGGTGGCTCTCACATACACACCGTTACACTCTGGGCGCATTGAGGCTCTCACATAAACACCGTTACACTCAGGGCGCATGGTGGCACTCACATACACACCGTTATACTCAGGGCGGATGGTGGCTCTCAAAAACACACCGTTACACTCAGGGCGGATGGTGGCTCTCATATTCACTCCATTACACTCATGCTGCATGGTGGCTTTAACACACACTGCTACAGTGTGGATACGTGGTGGCTTTCACACACACCGTTAGGCTGGATACATGGGACTGACACACACACTAGTAAGACTACTAATTCACCACATAGACTTACTTTCAAAATGAAGGTCTCCTGGGTTCTCTTGTCCATAACCAGAAGAACCTGAAGGGAAAGACAAATAGAATAAAGGCATAACATTACCCCTCCATCTCCTCTCTTCCCCGCCTCCCTCCCTCACTCTTAAATCATGTCCGTTTCACCTCCCTGCACACCCTCCCTTCCTCTCTCTTTCCTGACATCTTAATTTCTTTTCTCCTTCACTTCTCCTCCTCTCTCTGACATCTCCATTTCTCTCCCGCTCCCTCTCTCAGGGGAGAGCTGGAGCATATGTGGCGGTGTGTGTGTGTGTGTGTTATTCTCTCAGTGACCCTGGCTGGGCCCAAACAGGTGCAGGCTAAATGGATATGAATGGAGTTGTGAGTAAACAGAGTGAAAGTGCTAGCCAGGGCGCTAATATAATTAAGACACCAACATCAGGGACGGGGGAGAGGAGGGGAAGGGAGAGGAGGCGTAGGGGTGAGGAGCTCTCTCCATCTGTCTCCCTGTCCCCAATTAAAAGTGAGAGAAGGAGGGAGGAGGAGAAGAGAAAAGCTGTGTTGTGTTGTGTATGTCATTGTCCATCAGGTTAAAATACAATGCTGTTATCTTTCGTTAGCCGCATTTTTTTATGCACAGAATAAGGGAGCAAATTCCCACGGGTGCTTAGATGTGTTGCTGAGTTGTGTGCAAACATTGTATGGTTTTAGTTTTGTGTAGTGCTACAACACTTTAACACATGTTGTGTGTTATACTGTGTCAATGTTATATGTGTTTGGTTGTGTTGTATAGAGCTGTGGCTCTGGCCTGTGTGCTGAGCTCCATTGATTCTGTGTTGTGCGATGTCCGCTCTGCCTGCCAAGTCATTTCATGCTCCAGTGCTGGAGTCACTTTGCCAGCAGCTGTTTGAGAAGACCAGTAACCTAAACTGACCTTGTGGCACCCCGACACATACTTCAATAGTTAGTGTTACACACTGGCTTCCTTTCCTCGTCTCCTTTCCTTGATCCTAGCTGATTTTAAAGACCTGGATAGGTGAAAACAGGTAACACAGTAGTCTTTCTACATTATTAGATCTAGGAAAGGAGATGAGGAGAGGAAACCACTTTGAACCCGATGAGAACTGCCCACAGGATGCTTCTCAATAGTCTAAAGTGGCTTCCTCTCCATCCGAACCGACCTAAAAGAAACAGTCTATATGACTGACCTTTAACCCATCCCTCCCCAGACTGACCTTATCGATGACCCCCAGCACTCTGTAGGCCCTGAGCTCCTCGGCTGGACTCTGCTGACCCCCTCTGCAGGCAGCTGTAGAGCATTGCGCCCCCATGGCCTGAGATAGATGGACATTGACATAAGATTGATTTTATTTAACCTTTGTGTAGCCAGGCAAGTCATTGAGAAGAAATGTTGTCTTTTACAATAATTATTATCAGGGTGCATCAGTTAGCCAATGATATTGTTTGTAGCCACTGACCACTGTCTGTGTTGACCCTTGACCCATGCTGCTTCTCAGATGCTGATTGGATATCTGCTCAGCACGCATCAGATACTCAGCCGTCTTTCTCTTCACTGCCTCCCGCCTTGTAGGGCTGGGCTCGCCTGGAGAGAGAGAGGAGAGAGGGAGAATTAGATAAGGTACAAACACTTAGAACCAGCCAATTCAGATTACAAAACCAATCAATCACGCACCGCATTTGTACCAACACACCCTTTCCCCCTAATCGGGTGAGTGCAAGTGTTTGTATGAGTACGAGCGAGAGAGAAGAAAAGAAAGAGAGGGAGTGAAAACAAGAGAGAGAGAGTGAAAGCGAGAGAGAGAGAGTGAAAACGAGAGAGAGAGTGAAAGCGAGAGAGAGAGAGTGAAAGCGAGAGAGAGAGAGTGAAAGCGAGAGAGAGAGAGTGAAAGCGAGAGAGAGAGAGTGAAAGCGAGAGAGAGAGAGTGAAAGCGAGAGAGAGAGAGTGAAAGCGAGAGAGAGAGAGTGAAAGCGAGAGAGAGAGAGTGAAAGCGAGAGAGAGAGAGTGAAAGCGAGAAGAGAGAGAGAGAGTGAAAAAGAGAGAGAGAGTGAAAGCGAGAGAGAGTGAAAGCGAGAGAGAGAGAGTGAAAGCGAGAGAGAGAGAGTGAAAGCGAGAGAGAGAGTGAAAGCGAGAGAGAGAGAGTGAAAACAAGAGAGAGAGAGTGAAAACGAGAGAGAGAGTGAAAGCGAGATAGAGAGTGAAAGCGAGAGAGAGAGAGTGAAAGCGAGAGGTATTGTGTAGCGTAGTAGTGTGTGTCTGGACTAAGAGCTGTAACTGATGTTCCAAGGGGTGTTGAGTTAATAACAGTCATTAGTGACAACATGGCTGGCCATCGCTTCCTCTCAACAGAACCCCTTATCACAGCACCACAAACATTGTTTCCTCAACAAAGTACCTAGTGTTTCCATCCAAGGTACCTACCTTGCACCCCTTGCAGAAGCAAATCCACCCCGCTCCTGTAGTAGGAGAACGCTGATTGGTAGTCCTGCTCTGCTTCCTTCTGCACGGCCAATCGGATGTGTTCGCTAGCCCTGTCCAGGTAGTCTCTCTTGGTTTCCCTAGCGTTAGCGTTACCTCTCCTCAGACTGGAGGGGAACAGCGCTGTCCTGCTGGCTCGGCTGACCTCGGGGGCTGGGGAGCCGGGGGCTGGGTTGGAGGTGTGCTGCTGATGGTGGTGCTGCTGGTAGTCATACAGGGGGGGCAGAGAGGGGCTGCTGTGGGTACTGGTGATGGTGCTGGAGCCTCCCAGTGGCTGGTTGGGCGAGCTGCGGCCTGAGGCCATGCCATCGTCCAGCTCTGCCAAAGAGTCTATGTCTACGGCCAGGGAGGTCAGGTCACTGTCACTGGACGGACCTGGGGAGGGGACACATAGACATCAGTACAGACAACACACAAATACAGGAATGTAGAAACACACACACAATATTGTTTTTACCTCCATATTCAGACTGACTGGTAATGGTCAAATCATCTGCTCCACCGATATCCCTCTGAACTGGAGAAAGACACACAGACACACAAACGATGAGTGATACAAGGGTAGGTGTCCTTTTTACTCAAATATGAGGTTAAACTGGGATGAAACTGTAATGAACACTCCTCAGGTCCTGCCCTACCTTCAGAGCTGCAGTCTGATAGGCTGTCAGCCAGGAAGTCCAAGAAGGGTTCGGCCGGTCCAATAAGCTCTGAGCCGTCGCTGACCTCCCCTCCCTGAAACACAACCAACAACCAATCAGAGAGGGAGCCAATTGGACAGTGAGCCTATGATGAGTCAGGGACAGATGTTTATTAGCAAAGTGACGCTAGGTGGACCAGTACCTTGAAGGAGGTTTGTCTGTGTTCATGTGTGTGTTCATGTGTGTTTCAATGTCACATGCACAAGTACAGTGAAATAACTTTTTTTGCAAGCTCTAACCCCAACAATGCAGTAATCAATAACAATGTAATACTAAAAATAACAAGGTATAACAAAAACACACAAGATATAAAATAAGAAATAAGAACAGGAGAAAGTATGCATACTATATACAGGGTCAGTTCCATATTTACAATGTGCAGGGATACTGTATCGATAGAGGTAGATATGTATAGGGGTAAGGTGACTCGGCACCAGGATATATAATAAACAGAGTAGCAGCAGCGTATATGATGATTGTATGTGAGTGTGTGTGTGTGTGTGTGTACCTTGAAGAAGTCCTGGATGTGCTGGCTGCTGTAGAGGGCTGGGATGTTAGCAGAGAACTGTAACAGATCCTCTGAGCACTGCCTCCTCTCCTCAATCACTGTCTCATCAAAACGACCTACACACACTGTGTTTATTACACTGTGTTTATCACACACACACACATCATGTCATGTAATATGTTAATAGTGGCCCCTTACCAAACACTTTGGCCTTGGCGAAGGGTGGGAAGAGCTCTGATTGGCTGAAGAGATTCTTGTGGAGCTGCCAGAGGTCGTGGTGAAGTTTCCGGAAATCACTGTACCTCTTCCACACCGTGATCTAGAGAGAGGGAGAGAGAGAGCGAGAGAGAGAGAGGGGGCGAGAGAGAGAGAGATGGTCTTAGCAAGAAAAAAAGTATGACCGTCAATGCCACCACTCTCTAGGACCACACACACTCACATGACGAAACCTCTACAAACACACACACCTCTTACGTAAATCTCCACGCAAGAACATTCACATCCCCTCTTTCTCTCTCTCCACAAACAGACTCACATTCACTAACTCCAGAAAAACCCCTCCACCCAACCTGAACAGCCCCATACCAGCTCCAGACCAGCCCCATACCAGCTCCAGACCAGCTCCAGACCAGCTCCAGACCAGCTCCAGACCAGCTCCAGACCAGCTCCAGACCAGCTCCAGACCAGCTCCAGACATCCAGCCCCAGGTCCAGAGGTAGTATAGGGCAGACAGAGAGGTCTGAACACCAGCTTGGAGTGCTCTGGTCTGGGCTGCCGGTCCAGTGTGTGAGGGACACGAGACACAGCACCACTCCCAAAAAGGACTACTCAACAATGGAGCTGTGTGTATTCCCATTCCTCTCTTCCTATCTCTCCCTCTCACACACACAAACGTAATTGGGATCATGCCTGCTGTATTAGGGCGGGCCTCAGGGCTGTGTGTGTACAGGCATATGCTGCAACCCTTTCCAGCGTATCACCAACCTACAGTTCTATATGCAGTAGCGGTGCGTGGGTAAAATCACTGGGGAAGCCGAGCCTCCCCACAAAAAAGCCATATTCCAACCTGTGTTGTGATAATTGCGTTGTTTGCTCTATTACCTGTTAGTTCATATGCCTTGCCTAAGGCCGAGACAATAAGAAGACACAGTGGCAGGAACCATATCTTTGATTTATCACAAAACCGGAGAGCAACATCTGTCCGGTGAAGTCCACAAAGCATATTGCATGTAACAAACAGTTACATGACCTACAGCATGGTCAAGCAAGTTAATGTTTCCGACATTTTCGGACTACTAAACAACTATTCATTTATAACGACAGAGAGTTACCACAAGTCCCAAAGAAAACAGGAGCTGCCTCCACTATTCCAGCACCATTTCAACGTCATCAAATCACCTACAATTGAAGTCGGAAGTTTACATACACTTAGGTTGGAGTCATTAAAACTCGTTTTTCAACCACTCCACAAATTTCTTGTTAACAAACTATAGTTTTGGCAAGTCGGTTAGGACATCTACTTTGTGCATGACACAAGTAATCTTTCCAACAATTGTTTACAGACAGATTATTTCACTTATAATTCACTGCATCACAATTCCAGTGGGTCAGAAGTTCACATACACTAAGTTGACTGTGCCCTTAAACAGCTTGGAAAATTCCAGAAAATGATGTCATGGCTTTAGAAGAGTCATTTGAGTCAATTGGAGGTGTACCTGTGGATGTATTTCAAGGCCTACCTTCAAACTCAGTGCCTCTTTGCTTGACATCATGGGGAAATCACAAGAAACCAGCCAAGACCTCAGAAAATAAATTGTAGACCTCCACAAGTCTGGTTCATCCTTGAGAGCAATTTCCAAACGCCTGAAGGTACCACGCTCATCTGTACAAACAATAGTACGCAAGTATAAACACCATGGAACCACACAGCCGTCATACCGCTCAGGAAGGAGACGCGTTCTGTCTCCTAGAGATGAACGTACTTTGGTGCGAAGTGCAAATCAATCCCAGAACAACAGCAAAGGAACTTGTGAAGATGCTGGAGGAAACAGGTACAAAAGTATCTATATCCACAGTAAAACGAGTCCTATATCGACATAACCTGAAAGGCCGCTCAGCAAGGAAGAAGCCACTGCTCCAAAACCGCCATAATAAAGCCAGACTACGGTTTGCATAGCAAATACTTATTTTCCACCATAATTTGCAAATAAATTCATTACAAATCCTACAATGTGATTTTCTGGATTTTTTTCCCTCATTTTGTCTGTCATAGTTGACGTGTACCTATGATGAAAATTACAGGCCACTCTCATCTTTTTAAGTGGGAGAACTTGCACAATTGGTGGCTGACTAAATACTTTTTTTCCCCACTGTATACTAAATTCATTTTTTAACGGATTGGGTTTATTGGTGTTAAAATGCACCAGTTTATGCTATTTTGGACCCCCAGGATGCTGATGTCATGCAGCCTGACGTTTCTGTGCTTATTCTTTTTTTTATAACGACAAGTTTGATGTTGGATGACAATAGAATGTTCATGATGTCACTGCGACAACTGTATACAGACATGTCGATAGAAGTAGTATAAACCAGCCTTTAGTCTTGAAATCTTTGGTTCTACACTACCGTACTCACTGTTTAGCACATGGCCTCACATGTCAATCCTTAAAGAGAAGGCTTAAGAGGGTGTGAATGATGCTGAATGGGTGTAGACAAAGAAGAGCTCTCGAGTTGGTGTCCCAAAACATTCAAGGCCATTTTCTCAAAAGTGGGGTTACAACTTTTTCAACTTTCAAAGCAGAATTACTTTCCCATTTGTTCCTCAACTGCAGTGTATGATACACCATTTTCTCTACACCAGAGTCTCTACTTTTATCCAATGTAAAAAACACCATTTCAAATTTTACTACGTAAGACCGAATCGAGGCGGTCGGTCACAAATGAGCTACTAACGTATAAATACTGTATAGCTAGCTAGCTAGATGAATTAAATAACTTCATATTAGCTAGCTATCTTGATGCATTTATCATTGAAATTAAAAAACACAAACACATTTGTAGGTAGCTTGCTAACAGCCATGAAAGAGGGTGAAAGGATGGCAGCTCCAGCTGTCAAATACGTTTTTGCCTTAGCACTACAAATGATCAACTCATCATCAAGCTTCAAGTGGTATTTATGTATTCATTTTCCTTGATATGATCCTGCTGTTGTCACATGCTACACATGCACGTGTGTGCACATGCATCTATCTATCCAATGTTTCATGATTTGTTATAAGAGATATTATACTTTAGTAATCCACAATGACCTGGTGATGTAAAAGTCTAATTATGACCTTTTATTTTATTTGTATTTCACCTTTATTTAACCAGGTAAGCCAGTTGAGAACAAGTTCTCATTTACAACTGCGACCTGGCCAAGATAAAGCAAAGCAGTGCGATAAAAAACACAACAACACAGAGTTACACATGGGATAAACAAAACATACAGTCAATACCACAACCTATATACAGTGTGTTAAAATGTAGTAAGTTATGGAGGTAAGGCAATAAATAGGCCATAGTGTAAAATAATTACAATTTAGTATTAACACTGGAGTGATAGATGTGCAGAAGATAATGTGCAAATACAGATACTGGGGTGCAAATGAGCAAAATATATAACAATATGGGGATGAGGTAGTTGGGTGGGCTAATTACAGATGGGCTGTGTACAGGTGCAGTGATCGGTAAGCTGCTCTGACAACTGATGCTTAAAGTTAGTGAGGGAGATAAGAGTCTCCAGCATCAGAGATTTTTGCAGTTCGTTCCAGTCATTAGCAGCAGAGAACTGGAAGGAATGGCGGCCAAAGGAGGTGTTGGCTTTGGGGATGACCAGTGAGATATACCTGCTGGAGCGCATACTACGGGTGGGTGTTGCTATGGTGACCAATGAGCTAAGATAAGGCAGGGATTTGCCTAGCAGAGATTTATAGATGACCTGGAGCCAGTGGGATTGGCGACGAATATGTAGTGAGGGCCAGCCAACGAGAGTGTACAGGTCACAATGGTGGGTAGTATATGGGGCTTTGGTGACAGAACGGATAGCACTGTGATAGACTACATCCAATTTGCTGAGTAGAGTGTTGGAGGCTATTTTGTAAATAACATCGCCGAAGTCAAGGATCGGTAGGATAGTCAGTTTTACGAGGGCATGTTTGGCAGCATGAGTGAAGGAGGCTTTGTTGCGAAATAGGAAGCCGATTCTAGATTTAACTTTGGATTGGAGATGCTTAATGTGAGTCTGGAAGGAGAGTTTACGGTCTAACCAGACACCTAGGTATTTGTAGTTGTCCACATATTCTAAGTCAGACCCGCCGAGAGTAGTGATTCTAGTCGGGCGGGCAGGTGCAAGCAGCGTTCAATTGAAGAGCATGCATTTAGTTTTACTAGCGTTTAAGAGCAGTTGGAGGCTATGGAAGGAGTGTTGTATGGCATTGAAGCTCGTTTGGAGGTTTGTTAACACAGTGTCCAATGAAGGGCCAGATGTATACAAAATGGTGTCGTCTGCGTAGAGGTGGATCTGAGAGTCACCAGCAGCAAGAGCAAAATCATTGATATACACAGAGAATAGAGTCGGCCCGAGAATTGAACCCTGTGGCACCCCCATAGAGACTGCCAGAGGTCCAGACAACAGGCCCTCCGATTTGACACATTGAACTCTATCTGAGAAGTAGTTGGTGAACATTATCTTCCATATTCCTACAGAGACCTTGCAACTGGAGATTCCTTCAAAACGATTGCCTACAGTTACCGTGTAGGGCACTTCACAGTTGGGTACATTGTCGCGAGTGTGACCAGGGCCATCTGGGACTGCCTCATGGGGGAATTCAGGCATGTGTGAAGGCTACCGGTGTCCTGCATAATTTCATGAGGATGGACACGAGGAACAGGAGGGGACATGCAGCTCTCCGCCGTTTGCCAGAGGAGAGGTCTGCTGCTCTGCAGGATGTTGCACGGATGGGGGCCAACAACGCAGAATGGGAGGCAATCAGTGTGGAGGAGATCTTCACCTCCTAATTCTTCGAAGAGGGTGCTGTTCCCTGGCAACACCATAGACTACACTATGCACAACCAAAGGCTATTTTAAGAGCCACCCACATTGCAATAAAGAGCATTCTTCCATTTAATAAGCTATGTCAACTGCAGCTATTACAATTCCTAGTTTATTTCCCTTTGATTTCTACTTCTCAGGTGAGGGTGCTCTTCAGGTAAGGGTGATGTCTGCACAAAAACATAAGTTCTTAAGAGTCACCCATATTGAAAATGTTTTTGAACAATTAGACACCCTACAACCCACACACTGGTGTATCAATCTGATTGATGGATTGTGTTGTGCAGTAAGCAGGCTCAGGTGTCCTTCCACCTTCAAAGAATAGGCAGGAGGACCAACCATGGAGAATAGTAAGACACATTTATATTTATGTAACTACGCTATATTGTTTGTCCTCGGGTGTATGTGCATGTTTTTCAGCATAAAGTACTCTGGAGCCACTCAGTGTGGACACCAGGTGAGGACACACAGAGATTCCTGTTGAACACTGTCTCTTTTGAAAACGGTCTCTTTATATACAGTAACAGTCAAAAGTTTGGACACACCTACTCATTCAAGGGTTTTTCTTTATTTTTACTATTTTCTACATTCTGGAATTATATTGAAGACATCAAAACTATTAAATAACACATATGGAATCATGTAGTACCCTAAAAAGTGTTAAACAAATCAAAATATATTTTATATTTGAGATTCTTCAAATAGCCACCCTTTGCCTTGATGACAGCTTTGCACACTCTTGGCATTCTCTCAACCAGCTTCACCTGGAATGCTTTTCCAACAGTCTTGAAGGAGTTCCCACATATGCTGAGCACTTGTTGGCTGCTTTTCCTTCAGTCTGCCGTCCGACTCATCCCAAACCATCTCAATTGGGTTGAGGTCGGGTGATTGTGGAGGCCAGGTCATCTGATGCAGCATTCCATCCCTGTCTTTCTTGGTAAAATAGCCCTTACACAGCCTGGAGGTGTGTTGGGTCATGGTCCTATTGAAAAACAAATGATAGTCCCACTAAGCCCAAACCAGATGGGATGGTGTATCGATGCAGAATGCTGTGGTAGCCATGCTGGTTAAGTGTGCCTTGAATTCTAAATAAATCACAGACAGTGTCACCAGCAAAGCAACCCCACACCATAACAACACCTCCTCCATGCTTCATGGTGGGAACTACACATGCGGAGATCATCCGTTCACCCACACCGCGTCTCACAAAGACACGGCGGGTTGGAACCAAAAATCTCAAATTTGGACTCCAACCAAAGGACACATTTCCACCGGTCTAATGTCCATTGTTCGTGTTTCTTGGCCCAAGCAGGTCTCTTCTTATTATTGGTGTCCTTTAGTAGTGGTTCCTTTGCAGCAATTCGACCATGAAGGCCTGATTCACACAGTCCCCTCAACAGTTGATGTTGAGATGTGTCTGTGACTTGAACTCTGTGAAGCATTTATTTGGGCTGCCATTTCAGAGGCTGCTAAATCTAATGAACTTATACTCTGCAGCAGAGGTAACTCTGGGTCTTCCATTCCTGTGGCGGTTCTCATGAGAGCCAGTTTCATCATAGCGCTTGATGGTTTTTGCGACTGCACTTGAAGACATTTTCCAGATTGACTGACCTTTATGTCTTAAAGTAGTGATGGACTGTGGTTTCTCTTTGCTTATTTGAGCTGTTCTTGCCATAATATGGACTTGGTCTTTTACCAAAAAGGGCTATCTTCTGTATACCACCCCTACCTTGTCACAACAGAACTGATTGGCTCTAACTTATTAAGAAGGAAATAAATTCCACAAATTAACTTTTAACAAGGCACACCTGTTAATTGAAATGCATTCCAGGTGACTACCTCATGAAGCCGGTTGAGAGAATGCCAAGAGTGAGCAAAGCTGTCATCAAGGCAAAGGGTGGCTACTTTGAAGAATCTCAAATATAAAATATATTTTGATTTATTTAACACTTTTTTGGTTACTACATGATTCCATGTGTTATTTCATAGTTTTGATGTCTTCACTATTATTCTACAATGTAGAAAATAGTAAAAAATTAAGAAAAACCCTTGAATGAGTAGGTGTGTCCAAACTTTTGACTGGTACTGTATGTGAACCCCTCCCGCTTCTGAACTGCCTGAGACAGAGGGCACAGCATGGTCAGGTCAACAGGAAGTATTATAAAATAGATGCTTTACATTGAAATACAGATCGAGATGTAGTTGTCCAAGAGTTAATGATCCATGGTCAGTTTTGCATTTCACCTCCTGATGATTATGATGACTGACAGTGTTAGAATTAAAAAGACCAGGCTTAATCATGCCATCTCTCTCTCCATCTGTCTCTCATCTGCAGGTATGTTTTGATGTGAGAGAGGATACCAACCCCCAGTCCCGTCATCGCCACCTCACCCGCTTTAAGATAACCCTCGGGCCAATTGGGGACCCAAGGCTGGTTAGGAGACACCGCTAGAGACACTATTATGTAATTGTGATGAACTGAGAAAATATGATGTTTAGTAGCACTGTAATTAATCAATCATATACAGTCTTCCCTGCTCCTTTGATCTCATCTCTTTCCCCTTGTCTGTCTTTGACACTTTCTCACACCTCTCTCCCCACCTCCTCTTTCTTCCTCTGTTTTTATAATGCAAACCAGATGTGCATTGATGTGCAGATTGAACTTGTATTTATAATATATTATAATTATAATATTTCTAATGCATGTTTTATGTATTTATAACACTTGGATAATGAACTTCTTTCATTAAAGCTTTCTCTACTGGAATTGGTTCACATTCTCTACAGGTTGAAATTAAGTCTCTAATTGTATGAAATACTACAGCTACACTGTGTCCTCCGATCAGTGCAGATTAAGGAAATGAGCTGGTGAGGAAGTGTAGTGCATAGGAAGTGTAGTGTACTGTTTTTGTAATTCCGGTCCTGTATATATTAATTACAAATCAACCTTTAACTAGTTAAATTATGTGTCTACATTGTGTAATTATTGATGTCTCAGGACCAGGATTGGTAAACACTGTTAAAGTGTATAATTGTAATACATACAGTGGGGGAAAAAAGTATTTAGTCAGCCAACAATTGTGCAAGTTCTCCCACTTAAAAAGATGAGAGAGGCCTGTAATTTTCATCATAGGTACACGTCAACTATGACAGACAAAATGAGAAAAAAAATCCAGATAATCACATTGTAGGATTTTTTATGAATTTATTTGCAAATTATGGTGGAAAATAAGTATTTGGTCAATAATAAAAGTTTCTCAATAATTTGTTATATACCCTTTGTTGGCAATGACACAGGTCAAACGTTTTCTGTAAGTCTTCACAAGGTTTTCACACACTGTTGCTGGTATTTTGGCCCATTCCTCCATGCATATCTCCTCTAGAGCAGTGATGTTTTGGGGCTGTCGCTGGGCAACACGGACTTTCAACTCCCTCCAAAGATTTTCTATGGGGTTGAGATCTGGAGACTGGCTAGGCCACTCCAGGACCTTGAAATGCTTCTTACGAAGCCACTCCTTCGTTGCCCGGGCGGATCATTGTCATGCTGAAAGACCCAGCCACGTTTCATCTTCAATGCCCTTGCTGATGGAAGGAGGTTTTCACTCAAAATCTCACGATACATGGCCCCATTCATTCTTTCCTTTACACGGATCAGTCGTCCTGGTCCCTATGCAGAAAAACAGCCCCAAAGCATGATGTTTCCACCCCCATGCTTCACAGTAGGTATGGTGTTCTTTGGATGCAACAGCATTCTTTGTCCTCCAAACACGACGAGTTGAGTTTTTACCAAAAAGTTCTATTTTGGTTTCATCTGACCATATGACATTCTCCCAATCCTCTTCTGGATCATCCAAATGCACTCTAGCAAACTTCAGACGGGCCTGGACATGTACTGGCTTAAGCAGGGGGACACGTCTGGCACTGCAGGATTTGAGTCCCTGGCGGCGTAGTGTGTTACTGATGGTAGGCTTTGTTACTTTGGTCCCAGCTCTCTGCAGGTCATTCACTAGGTCCCCCCGTGTGGTTCTGGGATTTTTGCTCACCGTTCTTGTGATCATTTTGACCCCACGGGGTGAGATCTTGCGTGGAGCCCCAGATCGAGGGAGATTATCAGTGGTCTTGTATGTCTTCCATTTCCTAATAATTGCTCCCACAGTTGATTTCTTCAAACCAAGCTGCTTACCTATTGCAGATTCAGTCTTCCCAGCCTGGTACAGGTCTACAATTTTGTTTCTGGTGTCCTTTGACAGCTCTTTAGTCTTGGCCATAGTGGAGTTTGGAGTGTGACTGTTTGAGGTTGTGGACAGGTGTCTTTTATACTGATAACAAGTTCAAACAGGTGCCATTAATACAGGTAATGAGTGGACAGAGGAGCCTCTTAAAGAAGAAGTTACAGGTCTGTGAGAGCCAGAAATCTTGCTTGTTTGCAAATAAATTCATAAAAAATCCTACAATGTGATTTTCTGGATTTTTTTTCCTCAATTTGTCTGTCATAGTTGACGTGTACCTATGATGAAAATTACAGGCCTCTCTCATCTTTTTAAGTGGGAGAACTTGCACAATTGTTGGCTGACTAAATACTTTTTTTCCCCACTGTATAGTACACGCAGACACAGCATAATTCAAAGACTGGAGTTTGATACTCCTGGTATTGGATATGACTGAAAAACACATTATAATTTTGGCATGTAACAGTCATGTGTGTCACAGTAATTTTCTGCAATTTCTTGGGGACTAATGATTAACTGGTGGAAGCAATTAAAACCACTGTACCAAATGTTTTAAGGTCCACATACAGATTGGCTACATAGCTAGCTACACATTCATAGGCATACAGGTATTTTTATCCTCCACTACACAATAAGCAAGAAAAGAGTTCGCTAACTACATTACTTCAGCTGCATTGCAAGGCAAGCTTACAAAATTGTACTTTCAATTTGCAGTAAATGCTTTAGCTAGCTAGATTATTTACATCCACTGTTTCACAAGACAACAGCCTGGTTTAATGGTTCTCAGGAGTCCCTAAAACATTAAACAACAAAACGCTCATAAAGCTAGCTAGCTAACGTTAGCTAGCCAGCGAGCTGGCTAAATAGACATTTTCGTAAATTATGCATAATCGTCTCTACATTAACTTATTCCTCTCAACTGTACATTTTTTTTCATGATTCGTTACGACATTATAATTACTTACATTTGCTTCCATTATAGTATTTTTGTCAGCCAGCTTTGCTGAAGAAAGTCTCTAGCGTTGGGTCGCAGAGTGTCAAAAATCGTCATGGGAACCACTCGATATGATTGGTCATCGCCCAGCGTTCGCCGCTGGTGATTTGCATAAAGTTGGGAAATGCGGAACATTTTCACCGCCTCCACGCCACGTTCGCACCACCCAACAGTCCCCCGACCACCCCCGCTTCTCAACGTTTTCCTTCCATTGAAAATGAATGGGAAGCGGGTTTTCACTGCGCGGTTCCGCCCCTAGTGTACACGGGCCGTAAGAATGTATATTTCACCAGCCACGTTGGCACACAGAGCATTTGGGATTTTTTATGTATATTTTTTAAGCCCACATGTAGAAGTTGGTCAAATTGACAAGAAAGGCTACTAAAGTGTAACTTTGTTCTCGTGTTTCTTGAACAGTTACATCATTTTGTTCACATGCTAGGTTGTCTTTCAATGTAAGTTTGAGTTTGCTGCAACCGTCTGCTGCTATGAAGACATCGCAGTCTGAGATTTTTTTCCATCACAGACAAGCAAGTGCCGAAGTTATCATGGACGGCGACCTGTCCCTTAAAGATCCAGCGGAACATTTGTCTCACCTAATTGTGCATGGATCACTCCCAAAAGTCTTTGTTCTCCTAGATTTATTTGTGTGCTTCTACAGTTCTACTTAGACCTGAACTATAATAATAAATAAGCTGTATCACTCAGCATTTTGTGGCAGGGCAGGCACTTTGTTTATTCTTGATGGTCAGTTATTGAACTGCTTATCTGTTTTTATTATTGGATCTAAATGATTTATTGTAACATACATTGGTTAAAAGACGCAGGTCACACATTAAATTAAATTCAGCAATATACCCAATTATTCTTACTAGTAATACATTAGAAAGCATGCTCATTTTTGTGATTTTTGGTGTAATTATGAAGACAAATATATTTTGGCTGGTAAAAAAATCAGAGTGGCTGGTAGATTTTATTATCTACCTGCCACAGTGGCTGGTGGACCAACATTTTTATTTCCCACACTGGTTCACACGCAAGGTCTGGTTTTGTGATAAGAACAGTGGATATTGTCACAGCTACTGCAAAGGTCACCATGGTCACCACGGTTATAACTGTGGTTACAACCTCTGCAACATGCCCAGCCATAGGAGCAAAATCTCAAGCCATTCTCTCGCACACGCTCTCCGTTTTCCCTCTATCCCCTCTTCTCTCACTTTCGTCCCATCATGGTCAGATAATCCTGTAGTTCTTACCTCTTGGACGTCCTCCGGGTTCTTTCTGGAGATGATCTGAGGGGGAGAGAAAAAGAGACGGATTAGGATCACCTAGCAACCTTCAGCCCCACCACCATCATCACCACCAAAAGTTATTCTTCTCTATTGCACTACAGACCCAAAATGGAGACCCTGGATGGATGGGCCCTGTAGAACAGTAGTAGCCATTCCCTGTTCTGCTGTGGAGAGTGGAGTCATTCACAAATAGAGGAGGAGGGTTCCGAGTTCTAGCCTCTTGACAATGAGGACATTATACAGCGACGGGGTGGGGGAGCAGTGCACAAACGAGATGTCACCACACGCACACACAAAGGGCACTATACATACACACCACAAAGGGGCAGCAACTCTCCAAGATAGCTGGACAATGGAAAACAGATTTATCCTTTTATCAAAGGCACACAGACAACCCCCCCAAAAAATGTGCGATACCTTCAATAAAGAGCCATCAGTATCATGGGAAAAAATGACTTATTATAGCATATTATAAATCGGGTGGTTCGATCCCTGAATTCTGATTGGCTGAAAGCCGTGGTATATCACGGGTATGAACAAAAATTACTTTTTACTGTTCTAATTACGTTGGTAACCAGTTTATAATAGCAATAAGGCACCTCGGGGGTTTGTGGTATATGGCCAATATACCACGGCAAACGACTGTATCCAGGCACTCCGCGTTGTGTCATGTGTAAGAACACCCCTTAGCCGTGGTATATTGGCCAAATACCACACCCCCTCGTGAATTATTGCTTAAATATAGGCCTAGAGATTTATTGACATTTATTTATTTTTGAGTAATATTGTACTTAGCAGCTGGTGTTGTACAATATAGGGATTTTTCTGCCATTGTAATCCTTGAGCGGGTAGCTTAAGTCCAAACAGTGTTTTCGGGATGGAAAAACGCTTTAAGTGTAAACTTAAACCACTAAAACCAGATATAAAGTATATAGAAAAGATAATGGACCTACACTACCAGTCAAAAGTTTGGACACACCTACTCATTCAAGGGTTTTTCTTTATTTTTTACTATTTTCTACATTGTAGAATAATAGTGAAGACATCAAAACTATGAAATAACACATATGGAATCATCTAGTAACCAAAAAAGTGTTAAACAAATCAAAATATATTTTATATTTGAGATTATTCAAATAGCCACCCTTTGCCTTGATGACAGCGTTGCACACTCTGTAGCCGCGGCAACAGCCAATCGTGCTCATTGCCATTTCCCGGTCACGCCCTCTGTCACACCCACCGCCTAATCCCATTTTTGATACAGAAAAAAAAACTGCAGTAGTGGGTAAGGAGGAATCTATATATTCATTCTTTCTGTCCCTCTCCTTAGAACATGGTGGGCAGAGACAGAATGCGTCGTCAGAGTGTCCCAGTTTCAAAATCCTGTAGTGTTTTGACCTCCTGCACCACTCACAGTGACAGAGCCAGAGAGAGAGAGAGACAGACTGAGGGAGGAGGAAATTATATAACCCTCTCTCTCACCCATCTGCACCTTTATGACAAAAATCAACATTTTTTCAAGGGTATGTGTGCATGTACCTTGTGTGTGCGTGTGTGACACTGAACTGGTTGTGTGGTATTGTAGCCATTGGAAAGACTGTTGATAACTGAAAGCGCGAACTACCGCATTTAACCATGGCAAGGTCACTGGGAATATGGCCGAATACAAACAGTGTAGTTATTCCCTCCGTAAAGCAATCAAACAGGCAAAACGTCAGTACAGAGACAAAGTGGAGTCGCAATTCAACAGCTCAGTCACGAGACGTACGTGGCAGGGTCTACAGACAATGACGGACTACAAAGGGAAAACCAGCAATGTCGCGGACACCAACGTCTTGGACCGGACAAGCTAAACATCTTCACCCGCTTTGAGGATAACACAGTCCCACCGACGCGGCCCGCTACCAAGGACTGTGGGCTCTCCTTCTCCGTGGCCGACGTGAGTAAGACATTTAAGCATGTTAACCATCGCAAGGCTGCTGGTCCAGGCAGCATCCCTAGCCGCATCCTGAGAGCATGCGCAGACCAGCTGGCTGGAGTGTTTACGGACATATTCAATCTCTCCCTATCCCAGTCTGCTGTCCCCACTTGCTTCAAGATGTCCACCATTGTTCCTGTACCCAAGAAAGCAAAGGTAACTGAACTAAATGACTATCGCCCCGTAGCACTCACTTCTGTCATCATGAAGTGCTGTGAGAGGCTAGTTAAGGGTCATATCACCTCTACCTTACCTGACACCCTAGACCCACTTCAATTTGCTTACCGCCCCAATAGATCCACAGACGATGCAATTGCCATCGCACTGCACACTACCCTATCCCATCTGGACAAGAGGAATACCTATGTAAGAATGCTGTTCATTGACTATAGCTCAGCATTCAACACCATAATACCCTCCAAGCTCATCATTAAGCTTGGGTCCCTGGGTCTGAATCCCGCCCTGTGCAACTGGGTCTTGGACTTCCTGACGGGCCGCCCCCAGGTGGTGAAGGTAGGAAACAACACCTCCACTTCGCTGATCCTTAACACAGGGGCCCCACAAGTGTGCATGCTCAGCCCCCTCCTGTACTACCTGTTCACCAATGACTGCATGGCCACGCACACCTCCAACTCAATCATCAAGTTTACAGACGACACAACAGTAGTAGTCCTGATTACCAACAATGACGAGACAGCCTACAGGGAGGAGGTGAGGGCCCTGGGAGAGTGGTGCCAGGAAAATAACCTCTCACTCAACGTCAACAAAACAAAGGAGCTGATCGTGGACTTCAGGAAACAGCAGAGGGAGCACGCCCCTATCCACATCAACGGGACCGCAATGGAGAAGGTGGAAAGCTTAAAGTTCCTTGGTGTACACATCACTAACGATCTGAAATGGACCACCCACACAGACAGTGTGGTGAAGAAGGCGCAACAGCGCCTCTTCAACCACAGGAGGCTGAAGAAATTTGGCTTGGCCCCTAAAACCCTCACAAACTTTTACAGATGCACAATTGAGAGCATCCTGTCGGGCTGTATACCCGCCTGGTACGGCAACTGCACCGCCCGCAACCGCAGGGCTCTCCAGAGGCTGGTGCAGTCTGCCCAACGCATCACCGGGGGCAAACTACCTGCCCTCCAGGACACCTACAGCACCCGATGTCACAGGAAGGCCAAAAAGATCATCAAGGACATCAACCACCTGAGCCACGGCCAGTTCACCCCGCTATCATCCAGAAGGCGAGGTCAGTACAGGTGCATCAAAGCTGGAACAGAGAGACTGAAAAACAGCTTCTATCTCAAGCCATCAGACTGTTAAATAGCCATCACTAGCCGGCTTCCACCCGGTACACAAACCTGCACCTTAGAAGCTGCTGCCCTATATACAGTGGGGAGAACAAGTATTTGATACACTGCCGATTTTGCAGGTTTTCCTACTTACAAAGCATGTAGAGGTCTGTAATTTTTATCATAGGTACACTTCAACTGTGAGAGACGTAATCTAAAACAAAAATCCAGAAAATCACATTGTATGATTTTTAAGAAATTAATTTGCATTTATTTGTATGACATAAGTATTTGATCACCTACCAACCAGTAAGAATTCCGGCTCTCACAGACCTGTTAGTTTTTCTTTAAGAAGCCCTCCTGTTCTCCACTCATTACCTGTATTAACTGCACCTGTTTGAACTCTTTACCTGTATAAAACACACCTGTCCACACACTCAATCAAACAGACTCCAACCTCTCCACAATGGCCAAGACCAGAGAGCTGTGTAAGGACATCAGGGATAAAATTGTAGACCTGCACAAGGCTGGGATGGGCTACAGGACAATAGGCAAGCAGCTTGATGAGAAGGCAACAACTGTTGATGCAATTATTAGAAAATGGAAGAAGTTCAAGATGACGGTCAATCACCCTCGGTCTGGGGCTCCATGCAAGATCTCACCTTGTGGGGCATCAATGATCATGAGGAAGGTGAGGGATCAGCCCAGAACTACACGGCAGGACCTGGTCAATGACCTGAAGAGAGCTGGGACCACAGTCTCAAAGAAAACCATTAGTAACACACTACGCCGTCATGGATTAAAATCCTGCAGCGCACGCAAGGTCCCCCTGCTCAAGCCAGCGCATGTCCAGGCCCGTCTGAAGTTTGCCAATGACCATCTGGATGATCCAGAGGAGGAATGGGAGAAGGTCATGTGGTCTGATGAGACAAAAATAGAGCTTTTTGGTCTAAACTCCACTCGCCGTGTTTGGAGGAAGAAGAAGGATGAGTACAAACCCAAGAACACCATCCCAACCGTGAAGCATGGAGGTGGAAACATCATTATTTGGGGATGCTTTTCTGCAGAGGGGACAGGACGACTGCACCATATTGAGGGGAGGATGGAATGGGCCATGTATTGCAAGATCTTGGCCAACAACCTCCTTCCCTCAGTAAGAGCATTGAAGATGGGTCGTGGCTGGGTCTTCCAGCATGACAACGACCCGAAACACACAGCCAGGGCAACTAAGGTGTGGCTCCGTAAGAAGCATCTCAAGGTCCTGGAGTGGCCTAGCCAGTCTCCAGACCTGAACCCAATAGAAAATCTTTGGAGGGAGTTGAAAGTCTGTATTGCCAAGCGACAGCCCCTAAACCTGAAGGATCTGGAGAAGGTCTGTATGGAGGAGTGGGCCAAAATCCCTGCTGCAGTGTCTGCAAACCTGGTCAAGACCTACAGGAAACGTATGATCTCTGTAATTGCAAACAAAGGTTTCTGTACCAAATATTAAGTTCTGCTTTTCTAATGTATCAAATACTTATGTCATGCAATAAAATGCAAATGAATTACTTAAAAATCATACAATGTGATTTTCTGGATTTTTGTTTTAGATTCCGTCTCTCACAGTTGAAGTGTACCTATGATAAAAATTACAGACCTCTACATGCTTTGTAAGTAGGAAAACTTGCAAAATCGGCAGTGTATCAAATACTTGTTCTCCCCACTGTACATAGACTTGGAATCACTGGCCACTTTAATAATGGAACACTAGTCACTTTAATAATGTTTACATACTGCTTTACTCATCTCATCTGTATATACTATATTCTATTCCACTGTATTTTAGTCAATGCCACTACGACATTGCTCAATCTAATATTTATATATTTCTTAATTCCCTTATTTTACTTTTAGATGTGTGTATTGTTAGATACTACTGCACTGTTGGAGCTATGAACACAAGCATTTCGCTACACCCGCAATAACATCTGCTAAATATGTGTATGTGACCAATAAAATTTGATTTGATTTTGATTTGATTTGATATGGTTCCCTTTGGAGAATAATCTCTGATAGTGCTAAAATCTGCGTTGCTGGGATGTGACCTTTCTGAATCTGATGTGAAATACAAACTAACGGTAGAGCATCAACATCTCTGGGAGTGGGTCTGGATGCAACGATGATGATTACTTTTGCACTATGGGTCACTTTGGGTCATTGCCATGGACTTCCTTTTGCTGGACAATAAATTGCATAGACTGCAGTTTCTCTCATGCTGCATACGCACTTACTGAGACTGATTAGTAAAATGTATGCAACCAGCTGCCCCAGTATCTGTGTGTTAGAAATGTTGATGATGAGTATGACGTGTTTCCTCTCTAATGCCCAGGAAGCTCTGATTAAAACTCCCATTAGACAGCTCTGCAAGCGTTACGGCCAGTATGTACTTCCAAAAAGGTCAACATAAAAATGTATAAGCACTCACGTCCCAAGGAACCTGAATAGCACTAACCTTACTGCCAGGCACAGGTCGAAAGTCTACAACAGCCCAATACATTAGAGGTGCCGAAGAGCAGTGGTGTAAAGTACTTAAGTAAAAATACTTTCAAGTACTACATAGGTAGTTTTTTTGTGGGTATCTGTACTTTACTATTTATATTTTTTCTAACATTTACTTCACTATATTCCTAAAGAAAATAATGTACTTTTAACTCCATACATTTTCCCTAACACCCAAAAGTACTTGTTACATTTTGACAGGAAAATGGAGTGTTGGAGTGTGTCTATAAAAACATATAAATAAATTGTGCTGTCTGGTTTGCTTAATATAAGGAATTTTAACTTAAGTACATTTTAGCAATTCCATTTACTTTTGATACATAAGTCAAACTAAAACCAAATACTTTTAGACTTTTACTCAAGTAGTATTTTACTGGGTGACTTTTACTTTTACTTGAGTCATTTTCTATTTAGGTACTGTATCTTTACTTTTACTCAAGTGTGACAATTGAGTACTTTTTCCACCACTGCCGAAGAGGCATTTTTTCGGTTGCTTGTACAATTTTATTTGGACCTTTTTGGAAGTACATACCAGCCATAGCGGGAGTAAATGAAGTTAGTTACTCAGCGTAATCCCATATTTGGTGAGTAACGAAAGTATTTTGACATAATAACGCTTGCAGAGTTATCTAATGGGAATTTGAATGGGAGCTTCCTGGGCGTTAGAGAGGAGACACGTCATACTCATCGTCGACAGCTTTAAAGCACAGATACTGCGGTGCAGCAGCTAGCTGGATTTATAAGTGGCAGCTTCTTACTTGTCTCATGATTGCACACTGTTCAGTTAACTAACTGTTGTTGACAATAACTATCTATTTAGCATATAGTGGTATGACAGAAGGTGGCATTCAATGTAATCTCCTCTCTTGATCTTGTTATCACCGAGCTTGGCTAACTAGGCAGCTTTCGATCTCCATTGTCAGACATTATAAACTAGCTAGTTATTAGCTAGCGCAAGCCAGGCACTAGTTTGACAGCTAGCTAGTTAACGTTAGCTGAATGACGGGAGCACGTTAGCAAGTGAAATAAAAAAATGTCACACATAAGCAGCCAACATAAGGTTTACAATGTCGTTATTTATCAACTACAGCAAATCCTTATGAATATTATTCGCAGTTGTAGTTATGACAGGATAAAACAACAATGAAAACGTTAGCTAGCTAGCTGCTAACTAACGTTACGGTAGCTAGCTGTCAACAACACAGCCTCGCTCTGTCAACTTACCCTTGCAGTGACTTTGTACACTGTATATCCTTTCTTATGCTTGTTGGGGTCCGTAACAGTATAAAAACGTGCAAGTTCTCCTCGTTCCCGCTGCGATATCATTCTGATTGAAGCATAGCCATTAGCTAGCCAGCTGATTCCCAGTCTAAAAAGCGGGGGCTGCTTTGCTTCGTTCCAGATAGCCGCTGCATCACAGAGATAGAACAATGAGCCAGATATTTCACCGGATATATGAATGTGAAGTATCCGGTCCACTCACTATCAAATATGGTGATGAGAGGAAGCCCACCAGTGGCCAGCAGTGGTAAAATATGGAGCGAGATGGATTTTGGACGACGTTCAGCTAATTTTCTCATCGATGAAACATTTGATCTCCATAGAGTTTTCTGTTTCCAAAACTAAAATATGTAACAAACAGAGTGGACTGCGTTTTGTAAACTTGACCCTTTGCCAATGTTTCAAAAAATGCGTTGTTTAGAGGGAGTGCAAGGGCGAATTGAGTTTTTGCACACGCACAATTCAGAGTAGGCGTTCCCTAAAGGAAATATGCAAATAAATACTAGAGCGCGCCAATAGGATCTCACTAGCTCGTGCTTGGCTCTGCCCACCTCCTTGCTTGTTTTGCCCACTATGACAGATTTTTTATAACTATCTTGAGTTAGTTATACAAATCTTTGGCTGCAAAATGACAAGCTGAAAATCCTGCCCCTCAACTTCCCGTTGAGGTGGTTCTTCTTATTCGATGGTAGTCCGCAAACAAACGTATGAGGTGCATTCCCACACCAACTGGACAGGGGGTAAATAAATTTACAAATGAAAAGTAAATTCCATTACAGGAAGGGAAACATTTACATTAATCCGAATAAAACAAAAAAAAACAAAAAAATTATCAAGACAAATCTTCCCACTCCTTCAGTCATTCGATAACTCAAACTTCCCTACTCAGGCTGGGACTGCTCGAGACATTACTCCATGGAGCTCTTCAGATGTGAAATCTTTAAATCCCAGATATTGTTCAGCTGCAGAAACAATGATGTCGATCTTTCTTGACTTCTTTCAAACTTGAGCAGTACCGTTTATCACCATTGCTATAAAAGAGACAAAATCCACCTTCTTTACGTTAAGCATTTCTGATCCTGCTGGCTGAGTTCTTCTCCTTCTTCTTTGATATGATGGGGGTCCGCAAACAATTGTTTAAGTGCATCCCGCCACCTACTGTGCTGGAATGTACGATCAATCATGATCTGCCCAATTCTGTACTACCATGGAATTACAGTTATAAACCTAATAAATCCCTAACTTCTACCACACCCTCAACCCCAAAAAACCTCCCCAACCCCATTAAACTTTATCTATATCATGCTGAAACACTCCATCCTTAGGATTGTTCAGCATGTCAACAACCATTTCAACAGTAACATCTGTTACCCCCAATATCTCTTTTGCCGTCTCCACAATAACCTTCAACCTGGCATTTCTGCTTTCCACAACCCAAGTTGTATTGATAATCTTACCAATAAAAGCTATGAAGTCAACTTTATTCATTATCAAAGTGTCCTTTGACACCGCACATTCATGAGCACAAGATTTCTGAACAGGCCTCAACCATGCCAGGACCATCAGAAGCTCCAGCCCTGACAGTAGGTCCACTTACTACAGGTACATCCATGTAAGCTCCATCAGTCTGCATTGTAGTTCTATCAATCTGTTTTACGGCCTCTGCACATGATACATCATGACTGATCCTATATCTCTGAGCCTCTCTAGCCTCTCTCTGTACCTGGCATCCACCAAATGCTTCACTGTGTTCTCCCCCACAATTACAGCATTTAACCTTCACATTGCTTCCACATTCACCGTAATCATGTGCCCTCCACACTAGGCACTTCTTTCCTTTACACTGAGCAGCTACACATGTCCCATTCTTTAGCATTTAAAACACTGCAGTGCATATGGGACAAATTCTCTAACATTGAAACAAAGGAATCCTATCTGTACTTTTCCCAGCAAGACTTTCTCAAACCTCAGTATCACTGATAAGCTTTCACTTCTTTGACCCTCTTTCCTACTTATCACTCTGCCTCCCATCACATTTTCTTTAATATCATCTGTGGACATAGATGTTTGGGACCCCAGTGATGACTCCCCTCAATGTAGCATACACACCAGGGACATGGCTTTTAATCTTCTTCCCATTAAGCTTTTCCATTTTCAAAATCTTCTCTTGCTGAGCCTGGCTGTCACACAATATTAACAATCTACCATTTCCAATGAACCGAGCTAATTTCACTTCACCTACCTCTTTCTCTACTGCAATAGTTAGTCGGATAGGGTGTAAGTGAGGCCCTGTGGTCTCATCAAACACTATCACCACTTTCCACTCCAACACATCACTAATCTTGCTTCCTACCTTGGCCCTCTTTCTTTACTAGACGCTCCACTGCTTTCTGTATCATGATCTCTCTTCTATGTCTTTCCACTACCGACCATTCCGGTCCTTGACCCTCATCCTCCCGCTCCATACCATCAGAACTGACACCCATATTGTTCGCATTCCAGCACAGCTGTTGCTTCACCAACTTCTTCTCCATTTCCTCCGTTATCTTACGTGCCATGCATTTTCTTCCCACAAAAAACGCAACAAAGCACCTATGCAAAGCCCTCACTCTGTCACTCAGAAACGTATTCCTGTGTCTTATTCCAGCCTGCCTGCCAGCTGAAAATCTATGCCACTGTGTGTGGGTGTGTAGGCTACCCGCCCCTCCCCCTCTGAAGCATAGTCTACTACTGACGTTACAAGCGTGATTCAGAAATTAAGGAGAGAGATTTTTTATTTGAGAAGAATGGATTAACTCTTTCAATGCCAGTTAAGGATATTACATTTCACATTGGATTTATTAACTTCAAAAAGGTAAGACGTGTTTTTAGTTTAATTCTGTTTTTAGTTTAATTCTGGTGCCGCTGTGCACACACAAGCTTGTTAGCCAGCTAACTAGCTAGTTTTGTTCCATCGTTAAGCCAACTCTCTGAAGTTCAAAGACATTCAAAGTTCTTTCATAGAAGCCGGTCCTCCGTAGGTATAATTCTGTGGGCGTAATTCAGATAATGCATGTCATAACAACAAGATGACCTCCACCCTCTCTCGCTTTCTCCCCACCCGCAAAATTTCAGTCGCATCTCGCGCCCTACACTTGTCTGTCCAATGCATGTAAATAGCTTGCCCGTTCCATAGCAAGCTGCTCTATCCACACTGATTGTGAAGTAATTTAATGTTGAGCTAAATGTTTAAAAAACAATGATTTCAGAGGTTTAAAAACGAACAGAAAGGAACAATATTAACCGTACATTTTGTGGGGTTTGAACCAGTTTAGAACTTTGTTTTGCTGGTCGGAACAGTGGAACAGAACAAAAAATATACACTGCTCAAAAAAATAAAGGGAACACTTAAACAACACAATGTAACTCCAAGTCAATCACACTTCTGTGAAATCCAACTGTCCACTTAGGAAGCAACACTGATTGACAATAAATTTCACATGCTGTTGTGCAAATGGAATAGACAACAGGTGGAAATTATAGGCAATTAGCAAGACACCCCCAATAAAGAAGTGGTTTTGCAGCTGGTGACCACAGACCACTTCTCAGTTCCTATGCTTCCTGGCTGATGTTTTGGTCACTTTTGAATGCTGGTGGTGCTTTCACTCTAGTGGTAGCATGAGACGGAGTCTACAACCCACACAAGTGGCTCAGGTAGTGCAGCACATCCAGGATGGCACATCAATGCGAGCTGTGGCAAGAAGGTTTGCTGTGTCTGTCAGCGTAGTGTCCAGAGCATGGCGGCGCTACCAGGAGACGGGCCAGTACATCAGGAGACGTGGAGGAGGCCGTAGGAGGGCAACAACCCAGCAGCAGGACTGCTACCTCCGCCTTTGTGCAAGGAGGAGCAGGAGGAGCACTGCCAGAGCCCTGCAAAATGACCTCCAGCAGGCCACAAATGTGCATGTGTCTGCTCAAACGGTCAGAAACAGACTCCATGAGAGTGGTATGAGGGCCCGACGTCCACAGGTGGGGGTTGTGCTTACAGCCCAACACCGTGCAGGACGTTTGGCATTTGCCAGAGAACACCAAGATTGGCAAATTCGCCACTGGCGCCCTGTGCTCTTCACAAATGAAAGCAGGTTCACACTGAGCACGTGACAGACGTGACAGAGTCTGGAGACGCCGTGGAGAATGTTCTGCTGCCTGCAACATCCTCCAGCATGACCGGTTTGGCGGTGGGTCAGTCATGGTGTGGGGGTGGCATTTCTTTGGGGGGCTGCACAGCCCTCCATGTGCTCGCCAGAGGTAGCCTGACTGCCATTAGGTACCGAGATGAGATCCTCAGACCCCTTGTGAGACCATATGCTGGTGCGGTTGGCCCTGGGTTCCTCCTAATGCAAGACAATGCTAGACCTCATGTGGCTGGAGTGTGTCAACAGTTCCTGCAAGAGGAAGGCATTGATGCTATGGACTGGCCCGCCCGTTCCCCAGACCTGAATCCAAT